TTATATGCCATATCTAACCGTGTTTTTAGATTTTTAATTTGGGTCCCGTTTTTTAAATTGGTCTTCATTGAGGTCCAAAGGGTCCAAAATTAAACTTAGTTTGATTTTAACAAAAATTGAATTCTTGGGGTTCTTTGATATGCTGAATCTAAACATTTGTCTAGATTTTTTATTATGGGCCCAGTTTTCAAGTTGGTCCAAGTTGGGGTCTAAAATTAAACTTTTTTTTATTTCAACAAAAATTGAATATATGGGGTTCTTTGATATGCTGAATCTAACCATGAATTTAGATTTTTTATTTGTGGGCCCCGCTATCAAGTTGGTTCATATTGAGGTCAAAAGGGTCCAAAATTAAACTTTGTTTGATTTCATCAAAAATTGAATTATTGGGGTTCTTTGATATTCCAAATCTAACCGTGTATTTAGATTTTTAATTTTAAGTCCCGCTTTTTAAATTGGTCTACATTAAGGTCCAAAGGGTCCAAAATTAAACTTAGTTTGATTTTAGCAAAAATTGAATTCTTAGGGTTATTTGATATGCTGAATCTAAACATGTGTTTAGATTTTTGATTATGGGCCCAGTTTTCAAGTTTGTCCAAGTTGGGGTCCAAAATTAAACTTTGTTTGATTTTAACAAAAATTGAATATATGGGGTTCTTTGATATGCTGAATCTAACCATGTATTTTGATTTTGGACATTGGACCATAATAGGTAAATTAAAAAAATTCAAGTTCTTATACCACATTCTTTCTGTGTCAGAAACCTATGCTGTGTCAAATATTTAATCACAACCAAATTCAGAGCTGTATCAAGCTTGAATGATGTGTCCATACTTGCCCCAACTGTTCAGGGTTCGACCTCTGCGGTCGTATCAAGCTGCGCCCCAGCGAAGCATTTTATTCTAGTTTCATGACAATAACTTGTGTGTAAGTGTATGGATCTTTATGAAATTGTACTACAAGGTTCCATATCACAAAGAGAAAGCTGGGTTTGAGTTTGGGGGTAATTGCCCTAAACATTTAGGAATAAAGGGCCAAAAAGGGGCCAAAAAACAAGCATTTTTATATGACCGCAAAATTTTTTTTGGGATCGTATAATGGTATGTTGTCGTCGTCTGCGTTGTCGTCTGAAGACACATTGGTTTCTGGACAATAACTTTAGTTTAAGTGAATTGATCTCTATGAAATTTTTTAAGAAGGTTCAATACCACAAAAGGAAGGTTGGGATTGATTTTGGGGATGATGGTCACAACCGTTTAGGAATTAAGGGCCCAAAAAAAGCATTTTTTTAGTTTCAGGATATTAACTTGTGTATAAGTATTTCGATTGCTCTGAAATTGTACCACAATGTTTAATACCACAATTAGAAGGTTGGGATTCATTTTAGGGGTTAGGGGGCCAATAGTTTAGGAATTAAGGGCCAAAAGGGGGCCAAAAACAAGCATTTTTCTAGTTTCCAGACAATAACTTGTGTGTTAGTTTATGGATCTCTCTGACATTGTACCACAAGGTTCCATATAACAAAGGGAAGGCTGTGATTGAGTTTGGGGTTAATTGCCCCAAACATGTAGGAATTTGGGGCCAAAAAAGGGCCCAAAACAAGCATTTTTCTAGTTTCCAGACAATAACTTATGTTTAAGTGTATGGATCTCTCTGAAATTGTACTACAATGTTCCATACTACAAAGGAAAGGCTAGGATTGAGTTTTGGGGTTTTTGCTCTAAGGGGGGTTTCCAAAAGTTGTGGGGGGGGGGGGATTTTTTTTCCAATTTTTTAAGGGATTCATTTTTTTTTTTCAAATTTTTTGAATTTTTGAAAAGTTTCAAGAAGAAATCTTCAATTGCACAGTATTGTGCAATAGATTTGTAAGATCTTTGAACACATTTATTTTGTGTCAGAAACCTATATTATGTAAAAAATTTGATCACAATCCAAATTCAGACAGTATCAAGCTTGAATATTGTGTCCAAATTTAGCCAAACTGTTCAGGGCTCGACCTCTGCGGTCGTATCAGGCTGCGCTCAGCGAAGCATTTTATTTTAGTTTCCAGACAATACCTTGTGTTCAAGTGTATGGATCTCTCTGAAATTGTACTGCAAGGTACCATACCACAAAGGGAAGGCTGGGATTGAGGTTGGGGGTGATTAATCATAAGGGGGTTCAAAAATTGGGGGTGGGGGGGGGGGATTTTTTTTCCTTTTTTTTCTTTAAAATTTTCCATTTTAAATTGTTTATTTCTGATTTATATATAAAAGCAAATAATAATGATATGGTTTGAATAGGTAAATTAAAATTTTTTAAGTTCTTAGACCACATTCATTCTGTGTCAGAAACCTATGCTGTGTCAAATATTTAATTACAATCCAAATTCAGTGCTGTATCAAGCTTGAATGTTGTGTCCATACTTGCCCCAACTGTTCAGGATTCGACCTCTGCCGTCGTATCAAGCTGTGCCCCGCGGAGCATTTTATTCAAGTATGTGTCAACATAATTAACTTATAAATGATCACCATTTGAACTTGTACTAGTAGTTATTAGTTTTCACAAAAATTCAACACCACTCCACCACTGCTATATTTCTTATGACCACATTTCAAGGACGTAATACAATGCTCCCAAAACTGCATGGCGTGTCTGCTATCTATTAACATTGAACAAACCACATTAGACATTGATGTTGTAAAGTTAAATGGCCAATTTGCTATGTCTTTTAAAAATTATCAATTTCTAAGGGAACGGACCATAAGTTTCCTTTTGTCATCAAAAGTTGCTTTATAGCATTGATTCATGTGTACATTTGTAAGTCCTTATTTACAGAAAAATGAAACAAAGAACAAAAATGTGTCCTGGTAAGAAATGTTTTGATCAATATCGTTAGTGAACTCATGAATAGAAGTTCAATGAGAAAAAAAACTTCCTGTTTTAAAAGAAGTTCAAAAGATATCTCTTTCTCGCCTTTTGTTCCTTATAAAACAAATAGATAAAATGAAAAGATAAAACAAACAGAACAAAGTCCTACATGAATTGCATCTTTATCAACAGAATATTTAATCACGCATGATGTAAAACATCCACCTAAATCTGCATTTTTAAGATATTTTAAATGTATTTAAACAATTGTGATGATTACATTTACACATTTTTGTGTTACTTTATATCAGAGAAGTATTGCATTCGTCAGAATTTGACGTCAAGGAAATAATAGAATAAAACAGAAATCAGTTTCAACACATATATTTAAAATGTATTTAAATTACAAAACAAAATAAACCTAATATTTTGATTTGGCTATACCTTAGTTCACACTTTGTTGTCAATATAATGGAATTCTATGCACATGTCATATAAGTGAGAGGTTTAGCTAGCTATAAAACCAGGTTTAAACCACCATTTTCTTCATAAGGAAATGCCTGTACCAAGTCAGGAGTATGACAGTTGTTTTCCATTCGTTCAATGTGTTTGAACTTTTGATTTTGCCATTTGATAAGGGACTTTCCATTTTGAATTTTCCTTCGAGTTCGGTATATTTGTTATTTTACGTTTAAGAAAGCTTGACATAGGGATAGTGACCCGGCGGCGGTGGCGTTAACTTACTTCTTAAAAGCTTTATATTTTAGAAGGTGGAAGACCTGGATGCTTCATACTTTGTATATAGATGCCTTATGTTACAAAGTTTCCGTCTGTCACATGTCCATTGTCCTTGACCTCATTTTCATGGTTCAGTGACTACTTGAAAAAAAAAGTTAAGAATTTTTTGTAATGTTCATTTCTCTCTTATTATGAGTAATAGGATAACTATATTTGGTATGTGCGTACCTAATTGCAAGGTCCTCATGCCCGTCAGACAGTTTTCACTTGACCTCGACCTCATTTCATGGATCAGAGAACAAGGTTAAGTTTTGGTGGTCAAGTCCATATCTCGGATACTGTAAGCAATAGGTCTAGTATATTTGGTGTATGGAAGGATTGTAAGGTGCACATGTCCAACTGGCAGGTGTCATCTGACCTTGACCTCATTTTCATGGTTCAGTGGTTATAGTTAAGTTTTTGTGTTTTGGTCTGTTTTTCTTATACTGTATGCAACAGGTCTACTATATTTGGTGTATGGAATGATTGTAAGGTGTACATGTCTAGCTGGCAGTTGTCATCTGTCCTTGACCTCATTTTCATGGTTCAGTTGTCAAAGTAAAGTTTTTGAGTTTTGGTCTTTTTTTCTAATACTATATGCGATAGGTCATGTAGGTCAAATATATTTGGTGTATGGAAATATTTTATTATCTATATGTCAGTCACGCAGGTTTTATTTGACCTTGACCTCATTTTCAGGGTTCATTGCTCAGTGTTAAGTTTTTGTGTTTTGGTCTGTTTTTCTTAAACTATAAGCAATAGGTCACCTATATTTTTTGTATAGAAGGATTGTAAGCTGTATATGTCTGTCTGGCAGGTATCATCTGACATTGACTTCATTTTGTTGGTTCATTGGTCAATGGTAAGTTTTCATGGTTAAATTTGTTTCTTAGATACTATAAGCAATAGGTCAACTATATGTAATGCATAGGTTGATTGTAAGATGTACATGTCTGCCTGGAATAGTTCATCTGACCTTGACCTCATTTTCATGGTTCATTGGTCAATGTTTAGTTTTTTGGTTCAGTCTGTTTCTTAGAAACTATAAGCAATAGGTCAACTATATTTAGTGTATTGAATGATTGTAAGGTTGATAGTTGTAGTAAAGCTTTATATTTAGGACTATCAACATATCAATGGTTAGTAAAGAAGGCGAGACATTTCAGCGTGTGCACACTTGTGGTTATTAATTTCATTTGTCCCTAGAGAGTTAAAATGACAATTGACCCGCTGATCAGCAGGTGCATGTTTTGGTTAATGGAAAGTTCACAATAGCATTAAAGGAAATATTTCATTAGTACAATATGATAAAGTCTGATATACTACATCACTGATTCTTGTCACTAAATAAAAATCCCCTTTATGACATCCAGGGAAAAACTGGTTACCCATTTATTGATGCCATAATGGTCCAGTTAAAGACTGAAGGTTGGATCCATCACTTAGCCAGGCATGCAGTGGCTTGTTTCCTGACCCGAGGAGATCTGTGGTGTCACTGGGAGGAAGGAATGAATGTATGTAACACCTATATCAGTTAAAGAATAAGTATTGGTTTTCGATTCATTTCTGCATATTGATATTGAATATTAGTGACTGTGAGTCTCATTATGAATCAAGAGAGCATGGTAAAGGAACTCTAAAAAGCTGTATATAATCTTGAGCAATTGATTTATAGTATATGAAGAAATCTTGAAACTCATTTAATGTTTCACTAAATGGACAATCCCGTCAAACCATAAGTGGGAGAAAGACTTAACGCACCATAGCCAAAAGAAAATAAACCATAGACAAGCAACAATCTACAATCTACAAACTATACACAGAAAACTGACAATTAAGCGATATTAACCCTACAAAAAACATGTGAAACAACAGCTCAGAAGAGTAAATAGTTCCTGTTCAACTACCGGTAGTTGCACCCATCGATCATGTTATTTGGAATTTTTTTCAAGGTATTTGAGGAATGGTTGTTAGATGCTGATTGGTGTCTGAATGCTGGTAATTGGATGTGGCTGTCTGCCTCAGCATTCTTCCATCAGTACTTCAGAGTGTATAGCCCTATAGTCTTCGGCAAGAAAACAGACAAGGATGGAAATTATATCAGGTAAAACTAATTATAAAACTTATGTACATATACTGTTTTCTCAAGAAAATTCTATAATTTGTCCAAGTTTAGAAGAAATTTACTTTTTTTAATTGTTTGCTTCCAGTAAACAATTCGCCGATACGTTTTCCATATGCAGTGATCTCAGCCTGACCTTTCTCATAAAAATCAGGTGAACGCAATACGCATGGATCTGTCATTTAAATAAACTATTATCTTATTGTACATGTTATACACATGCTCAATATTCATACTTCTTTGTTGGTTGGTTACTATAAAGGTGACAATCGGTAAACTACGGCTTCAAAACACAACAATTAATTAGCTGCCATATTTTCACATCATAACAGACAAGAGAAATATTTTTTGACGATTATACGATATGGATGCGTAAAAAATGATAAAATCGTGCACAGAAGACTTAGTTTATGATATATACATGCATAGGTTCAAGAATTGGATAAACAATATTTTTCACTAGTCACTTGTTTCATATGACTTTAAGACTTCAATAGCTCATAAAAGGTCACTTACCAAAATTTAAGCTGATTCTAGATTTCTTTTCCTTCAATTTGAGACCCAAACAATACCAATGCAAATGTAAGGTAAAAGTCTGAGTCAGCCTTTTTCCACCATTTTTTAAAAGTCAAATATCTCTAAAAGGAGCTCCATAACCGATATTTTTAGCTTATTTTGTTCCTTAACTAATACTCTTTTGACTTAAAGTATCAATTTTAAATTCTTCATTTTTTTTCATTTCACCTAAGTACGCCCTTGTAGTATTTTGTTGCTGTCTCAATACATAATAAGAAATGTGCAAAGACCAAAAATCTCTGAATCTCTTGTATTTTACAGAAAGTACTTACCACAACTAAAGAATTTTCCCACACAGTACATTTATGAGCCGTGGACAGCACCACTGAAAGTCCAAGAGAAAGCAGGGTGTATTATTGGGAAAGACTATCCAAAACGTGTAGTTGAACATGATAAAGTGAGGGAGAAAAATATAAAACGAATGGCTGAGGCATACAAAAAAAGGAAAGAGGGCAGTAGTAAGGGTAAATAGATTTAAACAAATACAGTTAACTCTCGTTGTCTTGAACTCCGTTGACTCGAAATTTCTGATGAGTAGAAGTTTTTTCGTGGTCCCGAACTTTGTTCCATATAAATATATGTATTTCGACTCCTGATGTGTCGAAATTGGATGAGTTGAAATTTCGGTTAAGTCGAACTAAATTTACAGTCCCAAGGTTAACAAAAGCATTCAAAATTCATTATTTATCTTGAACTAATACACATATGCCAAAACATGCACTCCGGGATTGAAGAGTTAATCTGACAATACATGTGTAATTAAATTTCCGGTCATTGATTTATATACGACCGCAAAAAAATTTTGTGGTCGTATATTGGTATGACGTTGGCGTCGTCTTTGGCATCGTCGTCCAAAGACGCATTGGTTTTCGCACTCTAACTTTAGTTTAAGTGAATGGATCTCTATGAAATTTTACCATAAGGTTCAATACCACAAAAGGAAGGTGGGGATTGATTTTGGGGGTTATGGTACCAACAGTTAAGGAATTAGGGGCCAAAAAGGGGCCAAAAATAAGCATTTTTGTAACTTCCAGACATAACTTGTGTGTTAGTGTATGGATCTCTCTGACATTGTACCACAAGGTTCCATATCACAAAGGGAATACTGGGATTGATTTTGGGGGTAATTGCCTCCAAATTTTAGGAATTAGGGGCCGAAAAGGGGCAAAAAACAAGCATTTTTCTAAGTTTCATGACAATAACTTGTGTGTAAGTGTATGGATCTCTCTGACATTGTACCACAAGGTTCCATATCACAAAGGGAATGCTGGGATTGATTTTGGGGGTAATTGCCTCCAAATTTTAGGAATTAGGGGCCAAAAAGGGGCAAAAAACAAGCATTTTTCTAGTTTCATGACAATAACTTGTGTGTAAGTGTATGGATCTTTATGAAATTGTACTACAAGGTTCCATATCACAAAGGAAAAGCTGGAATTGATTTTGGGGGTAATTGCCCACAACGTTTAGGAATAAGGGGCCAAAAATAAGCATTTTTCTAGTTTCCAGACAATAACTTGTGTTCAAGTGTATGGATCTCTCTGAAATTGTACTGCAAGGTACCATACTACAAAGGGTAAGCTGGGATTGATTTTGGGGGTAATTCCCTAGAAATTTGAGGAATTAGGGGCCATAAAGGGGCAAAAAAAACAAGCATTTTTCTTGTTTCAGGACAATAACTTGTGTGTAAGTGTATGGATCTTTATGAAATTGTACTGCAAGCTTAAGGTTCCATATCACAAAGGGAAAGCTGGGTTTGAGTTTGGGGGTAATTGCCCTAAATGTTTAGGAATTTGGGGCCATAAAGGGGCCAAAAAACAAGCATTTTTCTAGTTTCCAGACAATAACTTGTGTTCAAGTGTATGGATCTCTCTGAAATTGTACTCATACATATGAACCTCCCAACGGGTGTACAATAATCCTGTTTTCAGGGGTCTCCTCCCGACCTCCCGTTGAAGACAAAAAAATCCTGTGTATGAAATATTTCATGAATGAAAAATTTCAGCCCAACATATCTGGTGTAACTGACATTACCTGAAGTTATATTTTACCTGTAAATCAATTAACATGCATAATTATATGGCTTCACTTGTCACCTTGGGTGTCAAACATACTGGTAATCAACGATTTTTACCTCAGGCTGATTGTGTAATAAAACTTTGTATTTAAAATGAATGTTGGGTTACTTCCCTTGATTTATCCAGTTTTAAGTTATTTTCCTTTAAATAATGTAAATTTTTAAAAGAATATAAATAAATTATAAATTGAACAAATAATCATAAAAGGATGGTAATTAAATGATTTTAAATGTCTTAGGACAAATAAAAAAATAATAATTTGAAAATTATTTGAGGGGTCTATACTTCCTTTCAAGGCTTAAATTGAAATTTATATAATAACTATGACCCATGAGCATAGTTTGAATGTGTTACTTATTATGCATTAAAAATCTACTTGCATAATAAAGATAAAAAAAAAAAAATCTACTTGCATATAGATATAAAAAAAAGATCTACTTGCAGATAGATAAGCAAATGTTCTGATTGCAATAAATAATGGTAAAAAAGATATGACCTAAAAAATTTAAAGAACATACTAATAAAGAAGAATGTTAGATTGAACAAGTTCAAAGTTTAAAAAGATAGAGAAAATTTATAAGTACAAGGGTACTATAAACATAATACATTCGGATGGAAAGTTGAAGAAAACACACTTTAACAGACAATTTCTACAGCACACGGTTACATTTACGACAGAATTTATGTCGATTAAAAACCTCCTGATCTGAGTCCTAATCTCCTGACCAAAATTTCCCAAACTCCTGATCTGAGTTTCACAGTCCATCACATGTATGTGTACTGCAAGGTACCATACCACAAAGGGAAGGCTGGGATTGAGTTTGGGGGTGATGAATCATAAGGGTGTTCAAAAAATTGGGGGGGGGGGGGGGGGGGTTCCTTTTTTTTCTTTAAAATTTTCCATTTTAAATTGGTTATTTCTGATTTATATATAAAAGCAAATAATAATGATATGGTTTGAATAGATAAATTAAAAATTTTTAAGTTCTTAGACCACATTCATTCTGTGTCAGAAACCTATGCTGTGTCAAATATTTAATTACAATCCAAATTCAGTGCTGTATCAAGCTTGAATGTTGTGTCCATACTTGCCCCAACTGTTCAGGGTTGGACCTCTGCGGTCGTATCAAGCTGCGCCCCAGCGGAGCATTTTATTTAAATGCTATTTCCACGAGTGTTTACATAAAATTATCTTTTTTCACCTTGATAAATAATTAGTGATACATTGTTAAAGTTTCATGAATAATTTTAAATGTTTACAAAAACATTTATCTCGATTCACACTAATGAGCTTGGATGTGTCTAAAGTAGGGATTAAGACTTCCGTTGGTGATCACCTAAAAACTATTCTACTCAATCGGCGTCTTTAATTTTTTTGTATTTTCTATTGAAAAGAAAAATTGAGATAAGAAAAAATGAAAAGACATCTTAATTTTCTAAAATCTCTTGTAATTGAGAATAAACAATTTTGTCAACTTTAAATGACTAAGATCGATTGGAAATTACTCTCTTGGATGAAAGCCACAGGGAAAATTGTAACTGTTCAAAGAAATAATTAAATAAGTGAAAACAATGTTATTATAATAATGAAAGACCATAACATACAAATACATCATTCTGAGACCAGAATATTATCCCCTTCCCACATTCTTCCGGATTTATTTTAGAATTAACAAGCTAAACAAGAGTTGTGTCCCTTGGTCTGTCAAACTTCAGGTTTTTGTTTGAGTGAAACTATGGGTATCTCGAAATTATTCTCCAACTGACATCAAGATAACGAGAGTCGACTGTATATCTTTTGTTCTCACACAATTTTTTCTGATTGCTGGCTTCAATTTGCTTATTCTCAGTTTGTCAAAAAATATGTAGAGAACCATATGTAATATGATTGCCATCTGGACAACTGTCCATCAAAGATATAAGATGTGAACAAAATCAAGTCACTGTATGGCCTTCAGCAATGAGCAAATCCCATACCATATCATGTACACTAAACTAAGATTTAAAAGTCTGGTAAGTAACAGATGATCAAATGTTAGGAGATATTCAACAAAATGTGGCCAATCATCACCGGTCCATTCTTGTCAGAGAACAATTTTGCAATCACAAGTACTTTTTTCATGATTTGTATTTTCTTTTTAGGTATTACTGAGAAGAGAAAGACTGAAGGCAGTGAGGATGGGACTCCAAAGAAAAAAAGAAAAACAGGGGGAAATAACTCTAAAATAACAGACTTTGTCAAAAAATCGAAATAATGTTAAATGATGAAAGACTAATTAAGGCCATAACTACCTCATTAACGTTAAACTTTGAAAAGACATTTAGAAATGATATGTCAATAATAAATTGTGCAGTTCAGCATCAAGCATTTGTTTGTTAGCATACCTTGTCGAAAGGGCTGTACAAGAATATAGTCTTACCAATTTGTAGTCCACTGAACAGAACATATTTATTTATGTAGAAACGAAGAGAAGTCCATGATGAAGTATACTGGTTTCTTTTAAGGAAGCATTGTTTTGTTTGGTCCTTGATTTAATTGAAGATGCTACCTTGTTATCATAGGAACTTCAATAATGTATGTTTGATTAATGTCTATTAAAAGAGTAATGCAGAATAAAGTGTGAACGCAAATGATTTTAAAGACATTTTGTTATTAATATATTCATTTATTAGCACGCATTTGGCTTATTCTTAGTCTTCTATTATCTAATCATAGATTCTTAACAAAAATTAAGTACTTCCATTGATGACCTTGCCTGCCATTAGAAAGTGGAGCATTTTAACTTCATGGATATGATAAACCCTCTATGAGAAGTTATGATCATTAATAAAATTAGTTCCCATCACAAATTTACACACCAATTTATTTTGTATTTCTGGTTGATAGTCGTCTCATTGACTATCAGACCATGAATCCTTACTTTTATATATAAAAATAGCTTTGTCCTGAGGTAAAAGTGATCTTCTAGACATAAAAGCATGATTTCTTGATTATTTATTGCACTTGACATTACAGAACATGTTATCTTTTCTTTTGACTTTACTTTTGTCTTTTATTCAATTCTCAAAAATCATTTCAGAAACCAATGATCTTAAGGTGATGCTCTTTCTCTAGAAATATTTTTACAGGGTTTTCATCTAAAGTTTATAACTTTTGTTCTAGCTGACAACTAAAATGGCCTCTTTGAACCTTAAGCCATTGATCTGACCGAATAGTTTATTTGTATCCCTGTGCATTTGTACCCAACAAATGTATTTGAGATTTTGTTTTTTAAAAAGGGAGTAAGGCTATAGAGATTTCCGAACACAAATAACTATCTTACGGGTTATGGATCAAAGTCAGAGTGACTTGATCTATTTAGCCATCACTTGGCGTCCATCGTTGTCGTCGTCCGTCTGGTGTAAACTATTTCAAACATCTTCTTCTCTGAAACTACTGAACCAATTCCAACCAAACTTAAGCTGAATGATCCTTAGGGTATCTAGAATAAAGTTTGTGTTTTATTTTCTGTTTCGTCAAAAAACATGGCCGCCATGGCTATAAATAGAACATAGGGGTAAAATGCAGTTTTTGGCTAATATATCTCAAACACTTAAGCAATTAGAGCAAATCTGATGAGATGTTAAAATGTTCATTAGTCCAAGTTCTATCAGCCATGAAATTTTCAGATGAATCTAACAGTCTATTGTTGGGTTGCTGCCACTAAATTGGTAATTTTAAGGAATTTTGCAGTTTTTGGTTATTATCTTGAATATTATTAATGATAAAGATAAACTGTGAACAGCAAAGTAAGATCTACAAATAAGTTAATATGACCAAAATTGTCAAATCTGTCCTTAAGGAGTTATTGCCCTTTAAAGACAATTTTTCACAATTTGTTCATCTAGTTTGCTTACTTTAAAAATCTTCTCCTTTGAAACTGCTGAATCAATTTCAGCCAAACTTCGGCTGAATGAGTTTCAGAGTATCTAGTATAAATTTTGTATTTTATTTTCTTGTACGTCAAGAAACATAGCCACTATGGCTAAAATAGAACATAGGGGTAAAATGTATTTCTTTGCTTTTGAAGAAAATATGACAGATACAAAGAACATCTCAATGGAATTTTTAAGCCCCTCATTAATATATATTAAAAAGCAAAAATAATCATTGAAAGATTTAAGCAAAAATTTACAGGTGAGCGAATCAGGCTCTTGAGAGCCTCTTGTTTTGTGGTACATAAATTATGAGCCGGACATGAGTAGACAAGGATTTACTCTGATAGGAGTCCAGGTCAGAGTGATCTGGTTATAATATATGACAAACTTTCAGCCCATGAATGGCATAATGCATCTGCATACCAAGTTTGGCCAACTTACCTATGTTCGATGTTTAAAAAGTTATGTGCCTGACAGCAAGAAAGATGGACAGACGGAATGACTAGTTGAATTCTATAAATTCCCTTAACTGTTTGCTGGGAGTTAAAAAAAATTTGGCAATTGTATCATAGTTAGCCAAATACCACTAGGGGGTGTTTAACAACCTTGGGTCTTGCACAAGTATCTGAGAAAAATGCATGGCTCTACCTACAGCTTACACAAGTAAATATAAATTTATAGTTTAGTCTAATAAGTAACAAGAAACATTTTGAAATGCTTAGTAACTTTATTTGGTCATCACTTTAAATAGGTTCACAAGTGGGCGTTTTTCTGTCACATCCTTTAGTATCATCGTTCCACTTGAGGCCATCAGGACACTTCCGGTCATACTTCAGTCCCCATACACATGTGATGTACTCTTCACATGAGTCACATGACTGGTAGTAACCAACCCATTTTTTCTCACACTTCTGTATACAGCCTACAATTAATACAAAATAATTTCAGTTTTAACAAATTATCTTGAATATATATCACCTTTATTGATGTGACTCATGCACCTTCAAATCTAATTTATAAATAGATAATGAAAACTGTATCAGTCAGGTTGTCTTAAAAAACATTATCTTCTGCTAGGTCATATCTGGGAACAGTATATCTATACGTCAATATATATGTTCGTGGTCATATTGAACAAATATGCCTTTGATGAGTTTTTTCATGAGAATAAATATTTTAAAACCAACCTTACTTTGACCTATAATGGTTTACTGTAAATTCAGAAATTATTGCATGCATTTATTATTACAATTTTTCAAGAATCAACAAAAATGCTAGTTTAATTATAGCAATTTTAGGAAAAGCTTTGTACAGATATACATAACAGATATCAGAATGCCAGTTTTTATACGACCGCAAAAAAATTTATGCGGTTGTATATTGGTATGACGTTGCCGTCGTTGGCGTCGTCGTCGTACGAAGACACATTGGTTTTCGCACTCTAACTTTAGTTTAAGTGAATGGATCTCTATGAAATTTTACCATAAGGTTCAATACCACAAAAGGAAGGTGGGGATTGATTTTGGGGGTTATGGTACCAACAGTTAAGGAATAAGGGGCCAAAAATAAGCATTTTTGTAACTTCCAGACATAATTTGTGTGTTAGTGTATGGATCTCTCTAACATTGTACCACAAGGTTCCATATCACAAAGGGAATGCTGGGATTGATTTTAGGGGTAATTGCCTCAAAATTTTAGGAATTAGGGGCCAAAAAGGGGCAAAAAACAAGCATTTTTCTAGTTTCCTGACAATAACTTGTGTGTAAGTGTATGAATCTCTCTGACATTATACCACAAGGTTCCATATCACAAAGGGAATGCTGGGATTGATTTTGGGGGTAATTGCCTCAAAATTTTAGGAATTAGGGGCCATAAAGGGGCAAAAAAAACAAGCATTTTTCTAGTTTCAGGACAATAACTTGTGTGTAAGTGTATGGATCTTTATGAAATTGTACTGCAAGGTTCCATATCACAAAGGGAAAGCTGGGTTTGAGTATGGGGGTAATTTCCCTAAACGTTTAGGAATTTGTGGACAAAAAGGGACCAAAAAACAAGCATTTTTCTAGTTTCCAGACAATAACTTGTGTTCAAGTATATGGATCTCTCTGAAATTGTACTGCAAGGTACCATACCACAAAGGGAAGGCTGGAATTGAGTTTGGGGGTGATGAATCATAAGGGGGTTCAAAAAATTTGGGGGGGGGATTTTTTTTCCTTTTTTTTAATTGGTTATTTCTGATTTATACATAAAAGCAAATAATAATGACATGGTTTGAATAGGTAAATTAAAATTTTTTGAGTTCTTAGACCACATTCATTCTGTGTCAGAAACCTATGCTGTGTCAAATATTTAATTACAATCCAAATTCAGTGCTGTATCAAGCTTGAATGTTCTGTCCATACTTGCCCCAACTGTTCAGGGTTCGACTTCTGCGGTCGTATCAAGCTGCGCCCCAGCGGAGCATTTTATTATTATTGCGATACTCAAGGAGTCGCATTATTCGCATTAATAAAAACCTCGCAATGATTTCTGAATTTACAGTACTTTTACAAATTGTGACTTGGATTGAGAGTTGTCTCATCTTAGATTTGAAGTATGCGGTTAATGATGAATGTAATATTGCAAAGTGTATGCAATGATTGCTTTCAAAAGAATCCATCTTGCAGGGTTCATCAGACTTTGGCTTCATTTTCTTGTATCATTGTTTTGTTTTGTTTCTATTATACCCGTAGTAAGACATTGATATTAGAGAATTTCATCTTAAAATTGAATAACAATCAACACAGCAGGCAAGACATTTCAGTGTGTGCACACTTCCTTAATATTGTATATAAGCAAAATTGTGTATCCAGATTTCTAAATGAAGGTTTATATTCAATAAGCTATTATATATCAAAATAAGTGGCTAGATAAAGTCTATGAGGCTGTAGAAATGCAATCATAACAATTAGGAACTGGTTATGATTCTACGTTCCAGTAATTAGTCTTAAACGTAACAATATTTTTTTCCGTTATTGTTGCACGTTTTCATCGTTATCGTAGCTAATTATATTAGATTATTTATTTTTTACAATTAAACATGCTGTAGAATTATGTTTCAGGTTTAACATATCTTTCGAAAAGAGTAATCAGTCTTATGGTAATAACCTTTTACTCAGTAGTTGGACATTGGTTTAATATATTGAAAAAGTGAAATGTGTAAATAAACTCATCATAGATACCAGGATTGAAATTATAAAGCATATTAAGGTGGATGGGGGTCTTAATTAGAATCCAAAGAATTTTTTGATAATTTGTCAAAATGTAGTATTTATCATGAAAAATGGGGTCACTGAACTTTTTTTCTTGCTACATATTAAAATAGGTAAATTCCCAACACTTTCTATTCAAAAATTACTTTATCTGAGTTATCTCCCTTACTATCTGATTTATCTCCCCTTATGTGGCAAAGTTGAAAAAACAATTAATCAAACAAAAATATTGTGTTTTTTAAGAAAATACAGCCGTAAATATGATAAAATATATAATTTTCTATATAAACCTGAAAAGTCTTACACATGAATTACATACTACTCTCAAAATTTGCACATTTCAATAAAGATCTAGACCAATTGTTATCTGCTACTTCAAAGTCCAAGATGGAGGAAGAAACCCCAGCCACCTTAATTAGAATAAAGCATATTAATTAGAATGAGTTTATGAGTTTACAGTATGTTG